TGAACCCTGCGCCTTCAGAGGTCTTCTGGAGGGTCTTTCTCGAGATGGCGATCTGCTCTTGCTTTTCTGTTCTGGGCTGTGGGTCCAGGGCCCGACACCCCCTCCCACCCCCGAGGCCCTGGCACTAAAGCTTTAGACTTGAGGCCCCCACTCTGTCCCCCCTCCTCCTGGGCTGCCCGTCTCCATAGGGCTGTGGTTCCTTCTCTGGCTGGCTCCGATTTGGTCACTGAACTCCACCAACTGTACTGAGCCCCAGGGGTCTCCAGGCCCCAGGTTCAAGGCCCAAAGGCCCAGAATCCAAAGCTTATCTTGAGAAGTTCAGGGATCCTCTGACCGGGAGATAGGGTGGAGATGCGGAGAGTGCCTCCCCTGCTCCAGGACATGGCCTGCTCCCTCCCCAGGATGCGCAGTTGGCTTTGGCCCCTCCCAGGGTTAGCAGCTCCCTTGCACCTGTCCCGCCCACACAACTGCCCTAGCTGACCCCCTGAGAAGTGCTCTTGGCTGACCCCTCTGGTGTGCGGTGAGGGGCTTTCTCTTCCCCTTCCTGTTTCAGACTCCCCCCACCACCTCCTGCACACGGGTGTGGGGGGCTGGGGAAGGTCCCAGTAGAAAATTTTATTATTATCGCTTTATGTTTTTGATTATTGGTTTTTATTGTATAGACCAAAGCAAAGAAAATAAAACTAAGGCACAGATCTGGTGGAGGCTGTTTAGGGGAGAGGGGTGGGGGGACGGGGCTCCGTTAGCAGCCTGATGCCTACTCGGCTGGATCCCGAGCGTACACGGCCGCCTTGTGTGTGGAGAAGGCAAGGTGGGGGCGCGGGGGGAGAAAGGAGCCTTCCAGGAGCTGGAGTTGATTTAATTTAATACACACAACTTGGAACCTTAGGAGGCTAGGAGGGGTGAAGAGATGACTGGGGGTGAGTCCCCCCTTTTGGGCACACCGGGCCGTATTTATCTCTTCAGTGGGCAACCTCCTTGCCGGCCTCTCAACTTCCAGCCTGCTCTGCCCCCGTCCAGCCTTAATGAACATTGGCCCATCTCTCCAGGACAGAACACTACCCCACTCCCACCCCACCCCCCGCCCTGCCGTGGCCTGTGGCTTGGAGTCCAGGCCCCTTATTGATCGGTCTGTGGTGGGCCCGCTCCCGCCCCTGCACCCCTCCCCTCTGTCCCTTCAGCCAACGTCCTCCGCGCTGTTTCTTGCCTCCTGATCTTTGTCCATGCTGTTCCCTCTGCTCTCATTTCACCCAGCACGGTGCCACTGTCAGCTTATGTGACGGTCCCCCACCCACGTCCCCAAATTCTCCTTCCTGGGGAGGGCTGAGTATAACACACATGCCAAGCCTGGAACATGTGGCCCCTGTGGGCCTGCTCTCACCAGATCCGTTGCCTCATCTCTATACCTGCCTGGAGCTTGGGCAGTGGAGGGAGGTCATGGCCTTGTTCTTGGAGGAGCAGTGGCACAGGTCTGGTGTTGGGGGCAGGGCAGGGAGCCCAGTTAGGCAGCAGCTGAAAGGTGCAGGGGAGAGGTGATGAGATGCTGAGCCGAGCTCTGCTGAGAGGGGCCATGGAATGGGAGGGGAAAACAGAATTTTCAGAGATCATGAGAAGGTTTTTTTTTTTTTTTTTGGCTGTGCTTCGTGGCTTGTGGGACCTTAGTTGCCCGACCAGGGATTGAACCCGGGCCCTTGGCAGTGAAAGTGCAGAGTCTTAACCACTGCACTGCCAGGGAATTCCCACGAGAAGGTCTTTTAACAATGCGCTTTCTGTACTCTGTGTTCAGGGCCTGCCTTAGTCTGCTCGGGTTGCTATAACAAGAAACCATAGACTGGTGGCTTAAACCCCATTTACTTCTCGCAGTTCTGGAGGCAGGAAGTCCAAGATCAAGGTGCCAGTAGATTCCATGTCTGGTGAGAGCCCACTTCTTGGCTTGCAGACAACACCTTGCTGTGTGCTCACATGACCTTTCCTTGGTGCTGGCTCAGAGAGAGAGAGATTTCTCTCCCTCTTCTTATAAGGGCACGAATCCCATCGTGAAAGTCCCACCCTTGTGACCTCAGCTAAACCAAATTATCTCCCAAAGGCCCTATCTCCAAATATGAATTCAGACGGACACAGACATTCAGCCCATAAGAGAGTCCTGATAGGAAACACTCAATTTGGGTAATTTGAGAATTTGCTAAAGGGACAGTTTTACAAAGGTGTGGGCAGGTATAGGAAGCAGGAAGGGAGAGGGTAGTACCCTGGACTGATTATGGTGGCCTCACCTTCTCTGCCCTCAGGCAAGAAGGGAAGGAGTACTTGGGGACAGGACCCTGTGGATGAGGTTCCTGACAAGGGAAGGCTGTGACCTCACTCCCTACTGGTGCTCCCTGTTGGCCAAACGCAAGCAGAAACCAGAGAGCCCATCAATGTGGTCTATCCGTGTTGTATCCTGCTGCTCAGAGCAGAGTGGGGAGTAGATCTGGGGAAGCCAGTGGAATATAACTCTCTCCCACCCCCTATCTTTCCAAAAGAGGATTGGAGATGGCTTACAAGAAAGGATTGCTCTTTCAAGTCTCAAAACAGGCAATGAGGACAAGGGAAAGCAAGGGGCAGCCAAGCACCCATGTTAAAGGTTCATACTAGCCGTGATTGAGCTTCCTCATTAGATGCTGAGCTTCCTGGCAGCCTGGTCAAAAGGGGAAACAGTGCAAGTTAAACTCAATGGAGTGAGTTGACTGCTTCTTCAGTTTTCACGCAGGAGCTGTCTGAGCCCCACAACCTTGAGAAAGTCAGTTCACTTCTCTGAACTTCAGTATCCTCATCTGTAAAAGGGGGGGTAATGCCTGCTCCGCCTACTGAACATGAGGATGAAATGAGAAAGCACAGCGATTCCAGCAGGAAGAAGGGGAAAGGGCGAGAGGCTTTCTTCTAGAGAGGCATTGCCTTTTCATTTTCCAGAAGGGACATCCACTCCAGGGATGTATCTGGACATGGGCTGGACACTGTCACATGACCATCCCTTGCAGCAAGGGAATCTGGGAAACAATATTTCAGCTGCACACATTACCTCCTTGATGAAAATCAGGTTTCTGATAGTAAGAAAGAAAAGGGACATAGAGGACCTGGGGTAGACCACCAGCCATGTCTACCGCGACTGGGAATGAGTTCCGGGACCAACCGCTGCCTTTTTAGGTAGGTTTTTTGGGGAAGCCAGCAGAAGAGCTGAGTGGGTGTCAGCAAAAGAACTGACAGAGTAGCAGACCAGAAGGGAAATGCAGGCCTAGGTGAGGTGGGCAGACCTGATTGAGCCACATCCAAGGAATAGGAACCTGGCCCTGTCCGTCTAGAGGGTTTGGAGGAAGGTCTCTGCCGCCCACATGATCAACATCTCTACCTTGGTATCAACAGTACCAGTGCAGACAGACACCCACCTATGACAAGGGAGGGTCACTTGCTAGATGGCCGAACCAAGCCCCCACCTGCCCAGAAATGGCAATGGGCCAGAATGAGGGGCAGAATCCAACAAGGTGGGATTAATATCAAGTTATTAAAATACATCTTTAAAGGACTTCTCTGGCAGTCTGGTTAAGCTTCCACGCTTCCAGTGCAGGGGCCATGGGTTTGATCCCTGGTTGGGGAACCAAGATTCCACATGCTGCATGGCGCGGCCAAAAAAAAAAAAAAAAAAAAGTCTTAAAAATAAATTCTCATCTGTGGACCTAAAATGGCTCTTAAAATAACGTCTTTCAATTAAAAAAAATAAGTTACTAAAAATAAGTTATTAAAGGGAGTCTTACACTAAACATTTAAAAAACATTTCTGCGTGACCTCATCTCCAAAGCATACAAGTTGGCTTAAAAGGTACAATCGATAAGATAAAATAACTGGGTAGGAAATAATTTGATGGAATCCTAAATCCTATACTTTAATCTAAAAACATCTATGCACATATAGGAAATATGGGGAAATTCAGCTACACCCAGAACGTGTGGGAAAGATTAGCTGCCCCGCGGCATGTGGGATCTTTGTTCTCCAAGGAAAGAACTGTCTCTGGAGGAACGCAGTAGCACTGCGTTGGCTAGATTTGTGGATCGTTCATTCATTCATTCATTCATCAACTGCTTCCTAAGGGCCTGCTGTTTGCCAGGCTTTGTTCAAGGCACCGTGGGTAGAGATGCCCATGTTCTTGTCTTCCAGGGGGGAAGGTGGATGGACAGTAAACTAAGACCAGCAGGACGGCATGGAAGGGAGCATGTGCTTAGGAGTCTGGGGGGGGGGGCGGTCCAGGAAGTCCGAGGGGGAGTGGGGGACGATTGAGCCTCATTGTGAATAAGGAGGAGGTATTTGCTGGGCATCACTGGGAGGCACCGGCAATCCTGGCAGTGGGAACAGCAAAGACATGGACATGGGGATCTGGGTGGGGAGTTCAAGAAATAACAGTGGGTTGGTGTGCCCGGCCCTTAAGAGGAGGGGAGCGGTACAGTGAGAAACAGGCTGGAAAATGGGGCAAAAGTCAGATGGCGGAAGGACTTGTGCATCTGGCCAAAGCGTGT